AGCTAAGAAAATGTTCACTCATGCACACAGAGGTTTAATTTGTTGGCTACATTGTGTGTAGAGATGGAATCTCAACAGATCTAACTAATATAGCCGAGGCTAGAGATTGACCTCAACCCATGATGAAGCAAAAAGTTCATAGTTTTCTTGGCTTTGCATCATATTACTGATGATTTGTAGCCAGCTTCTGAAAGATAGCAATGCCATTGTCAGTTCTCATAAAAGTAGAATTGTGCTTTGAATGAAGCAAGAAATGTGATAAAGTATTCAGATCCCTAAAGCTTGCTTTAATGGATGCTACAGTGGTGGCCCATCTACTGATACTGGAGTCAGAGAAATATTATCACAGTTACAGGATAGGGTCTGCTCACGGCTCTGAATATAGATACTGTATGACAAAAAAAGAGCTGCTTGCAGCAGTTGTTTCTTAAACCACTATTGGCAATACTTGTATGGTAAGAGATTTACCTTTTGGGTGGACTGGCTTTAGTAAAATGGTTAGTAAACTTTAAGAAAATCGAGTTGGACTGTCTTGCTGCACAGTGAAACCTTGTCTATTTATGGAATGTCCTGACCCTGAACACCATGAGAGAGTTGAAACTGTGATTGCATAAAATACAGACAATGAGGTAAAAGACTCCACTGGGAGATAAATGCCAAAGTTATTGCTTCATGATCTCCATGATGAATAACTAAAAGACCCTGACATAGCATAGGTGCTCCTTGCTGTCCAACTAGGTCAAATCTATTCAGCACTAGTAGAGGAGCATATCACAGATCCACGGTAACCTGTCAAAGAAGATGTATTATACCGTTGATATAAGTCACCAAGATGTAGTTCCCCTGCAGGTGGCAGCTAGTGGTCTAAAGAGCTTTACAGCGAGCAATATTTTGGTCTTTGCATGACATAAAGAACTAGAGGGTACCAAAGTAAAGTGTAACCCACACTTGTATAAACATTTGAAGGCTGTTCTTTTGGTTGTGAGTGAGTCAAGAAGCTCAGTGCTAGAGTGAATGCTGTGTAGTGTGTAATTTAGAGGCAGACCAGCCAAGACAGATAAACTCTAATAGCAAATTGATGGGTTTCTTCTACATAGGACAGTCCAGGATATTACTAGTCCATTCCCAGAGTGTGCAAGAGGTCATCATTACATATTCTTCACCATCAATTATCTCACAAACTCTGCCAATAGTTATCCATTGGTCAATCTGCTAGCACAGACCATTGCAGTCAACTATGTTTCATAGCACCAGGGGAAATTCACAAAGGTTAGAGAGCCAATTCCAACAGCATGAATTGTGTAAAGTGTTAGGTGTGGTGAAAACTTATACTTCATCTTATCACCTCTTGTTTGATGGTTCGGTACAGCAGGTAATATAGAATACCAAGAAATGCTTGCAAATGTTTGGTAATCGAAACAGAACTGAGTGGGAAGAACACTTACCAAATGTAATGAGAGCATTTGGAGCAACTAAACAGGGATCAATAGACTGGTGGTTCCATGGAAAAATAGAGAAGTTAAGAGTTATGGTTAGTGGTGATTGCTTGATGACATGACACTCTGGAGAATTCTGGCAGCGCTTAGGATTAACTTTGATCCTAAGTAAAATTAGATCTTTCTCGGATTTTGACCTTTGCTTCGTTTTAGAATGTTGTCTGCTTTCTCACTGAAAAATAAAAATAAAGTTTGTTTTAAATTTTCTTCATACGCATAGATTCACATCCTTATTAATTTTTGTCAACTGTTGGTCCTCGAATCTCTTGTAATTGTGATTTAGTAGTTTACCTTGACATGTCACTAGAGTAAAAACCACTTGTAAAGTAACAGAATTAAGAAATGAACCGACTAGTTCTTATGATAATATTAGTCACTAACAAAACGTTAAATTATCAGGAATGTGTAAAAATATTAGCTTGGTGACACTGAAAGCAAAATTAACAGGGAAATAGTAAACACTGGCTTGATTACAGAGAAGTAAAATCAATGAAAAGATTATAAAATACCAGTTTAGTTTATGAGAATCTAAGATATGAATATACGGATAAATCACGTGAATATAAAAGCCACTATCAAAACGAAAAATAAAGTTCATTGGTTAAATCGCGGTCAGAAGATAATATAAACAAAAATTTATATATACTTTACTTTAAAAGTGACTTTAGATCAAAAGACATGATACAAAAGTCTGACGTTTTTAAAAAGCGAATTAGATATATGTGAAAGTAATAGTAACTGATGAATACAGATAATGTCAATCATAAATTTGTTTGTTTTAAAGCAAAGCCACATTTGGCTACCTGCTGTGTCCATTGCGACGAATCGAACACCGGATTTTAGCGTTGTAAGTTCGTAGACTTACCGCTCTCCCACCGAGGGATATAAAGTATATCTCTATACACAGGATGCTTCAAGCGAGGGATATAAAGTATATCTCTATACACAGGATGCTTCAAGCGAGGGATCGTGAATTCCTCTCCTAAACGAACTTGAAAACCTGGATGCTCTGAAATGGATTTTCGGGCTACTTAGGAGAAAAAAATGGTTAGTTATAAAGCGTTGAAACATAAAGAATTTTTTCAGTTTACTTACTTAGAAGTCCTCCAGTGGCACAGCAGTATGTCTTCGGACTTACAATGCTAGAAACCGGGCTTCGTGGTGTGCAGAGCACAGATAGTCCATTGTGTAGTTTTGTGTTTAATTACAAACAAACTTACTTAAATAATTTTTAAAATTCTGTTTATCTTTAAATTTAGACTTTTTTTTCCTGAAAAGTTAATTGAACTGTGAGTGACCACATTGGATTAAAAAATTTGTGTCATTATATGTCTGTCACTTGCTGCATCACATTTGTAAGTCAGAGAGGCGTTTTCCCCCATAATTAAGTGGGCAGGACTGAACAGCATAAGCTAATGGTATTATGTTTCACAGTACTAGCCATAAAAGTGGAACATTTTCACTTATTTGCATGCAGGACCAGAGTCCGCCATGTTAATATGATATCACAGGTGCGCTGTTCATAGACAAATAACTTGTCATTTGAGAACGAATTCTATCACGTAACTACAGGGTGTACAGGATTATATTGTGAACCAAATTTGACTTTCACGTCACTTTTACACGAAACTGGCATATTTTCGAAACTTAATTTTCCCAAAGTTTTGCTGGCTATGTTCGTAATAATTGTTCAGTTAGCTGCATTCGAATATCAACTTTGCATGTTTTTCAGTAATCCTTGTTAACAGAGATTTGTGTATGAAATAATTTCCAACATATACAAACGATTTCTGATTGTTAAAAATATGCGGTTCATTGCAAAGGTACACATTATATTAATCTGTTTGATATTAACAGTTTACCCATACCGACTTTTTTTAACCGTACACCACTGGCGGGGACGGCATATTGCATCACATTAAGTAATATTATGTTCTTGCCTGTTACAACATTCAGTGTAAAGAGCTTCCAAACAAATTACGCAAAAATCACTCGCGTGTAAAAATACGTAGGAAATCCCAGCAGTAATTAACGAAATTAATTCCAACACTGATAGTATTTTTGTTCAATATTTTAGGTGATTTTTATGTTAGTAAAAACCTTTCAACCAGCAAAGTCATGGATATAAAATCAGCTTTATGCACTAATAGTTCAAAAAATGTATTCAACATGCTGATGGGGATACTTGGACCGGGTCGATAATTCTAGGGATAAAAAGCAATAAATTATTTTTCTATTTACAAAAATATTAGAGGAAGATGGGTCACGGAACTCGTACAAGAAAAAACATTATTTGTCAATTAAACAGTTTGTTTGTTTGGTAATAAAGCATAAAGCTACACAATTGGCCATCTGTGTTCTGTCCACCACTGGTATTGAAACCCGGATTCTAGCCTTGTAAGTCCGCAGACATTCCGCTGTGCCACTGGGTGGCCAATTAAACAGAGAGAAAAGCAGTGGCTGTGCACTAAAAGTTTCAAGGAGGACTTTCCTTCCTAGGAATGATCAAAAACTATAAGTGCTTTTTCTTTTCATTTCTTCTATACATATTATATCTCCTTTGTAAGTGGGTATCAGGGCGAAACGTCAGTGACGAGTACACATCACAAGGGCTTCCGTCTCCAAGGTGTAGAGTGGATTCTACCGTTTTATATATATTTACTTTTAGGTCTTATGTTACCATTAGTTACATCGATTTAATTAGAGTTGTGTGAAACTTGCATTAATAAAAGTACTTTTTTTATTCTCTTAATGATTCCTAATGGTGAAAACAAGTATGGTATTATATTTATACAATATAAAGATTTTCCTGCTATGTGCTAGTAATAAATACACGCTAATTTTGCGAATGATAATCCTACATATATAGTGAAAAAACATGTTTGCTTGTTTGTTGTTAAACCCAAAGCTACACAATGGATTATCTATGCTCTTCTCACAGCAGGTATCGAAACTCGATTTTTAGCATTATAAGTTTTCAGATTTATCGCTTAGCCACCCGGAGACAAAAAACAGGTAGATTAAAAAATCAATGAAAGACAAAAATAAGAAACCTTATAACCTGAGCGCTTTCGAAAGTACATCTTTTTTATCAGGGGGAAACTGTGATTTTTGTGAGTGTGAAATACATGTCTGTATATATATCTGGAATCTACAGTTCACAAACCCGACTACATTTATTTATCACGAATATGGTGGTTTTATAACGTAATTTAGTGGATTCTGAACTATCAACTATCTGTTTTTAAAAAATATGGTTTATGCTCTTTCTCTCATTCCATTTCAAAATGTTTTAATTTTTGATACTTTTATCTATGGTGCAGATGGATCTATTTTGATGCTTGTAGAATGATTGAACTTGTCATCATATCGTCTGAAGTTAAATTTAATATTTACACACGTTTAAGATATAGCAGAGCTTAGTTCTATGGGCCAATAACAAGAAAGGTTTTAAGTGACGTCATGCGACGCTATAAAGTGCGTGGTAAGGTACTAATAGGTGCCGTGTGTTGTGAGGGTTTGGCGTGATGTTGATGATGCCAAGAGTGAAGTAATATTGTGTTTTAAATAAGAGGGCGTACGTACTTTTCAGTCTTTGGGTACACCATGTACATTACAAGGTAAGAATAAGTACCAATCCTAAATATTTTGAAGGCTGGAAAGTCCATAAAATTGTCGAGATAATGTGGAGCCAGTACTTACTGGCATTAACGTCATTATGGTGTCACCCGAGCTGTTTTTGGCTGTAGCTGAGTGATGTGTTTAAAGTAGGCATGTCCGAGGCCTAGTCGTAGCCGCTGTTGGTGCTATTCTGCCAGGAAAATTCTCACTTGTAATGAATATATTACGTAATTGCTTAGATTATGTGACATGAAGTAATAATTTGGCGGTTAATTATGATACCCAGAATTATGAAGGTTTTATTATTTTTATCGTGAGACTGACGCCATACTTCGTCCTGAGACGAACGTAAGTTATCTCGTGTTTGGATTCTTCAAGGCCAAACTTTGTAATCAGTTTGACTATGTCGACATTGCGCAATAACACAACTTTTTTCAGTTGAATGAGTAGGACTTCCTTAAATTGACATTTCGTCACGGCGTACTCGTTTGTTGGGTATATGCGAAGGAAACAGTTTCTAATGAACAATATGATACTGATAGGAGAGAAGCACGGATCTAAGTTAAGTTTACTTTTTCAATTTAAAGAGAAAAAGGTGCTTCAAACGAAGTAAATTATTATTTCCTAAGGCTCTAGATGTATTTTGAGTCGTATTGACAAGAGAGATAACTAGTGCTTACTAATATTATACTGTTTTATTACTTTTACCATGGAGGGTGTAGAAGTAGAAGGTGATACTGTGTTTGAACCTCAGGGCGAGTTTAGGGCACGTTCAAATACGTGGCCTCTACCCCGCCCAGATAACTTCAATGAAAAAGATGGAGAAAAAACTGGAGGAACGACAGTGGTCAATGAACAGAGTCAAGGGTCACCACCATCTGATGTCACAGTTGGAGGTCAGCCACCTAAAAAAAGTTCAGCACGTCGCAATGCATGGGGAAATATGTCTTATGCAGATCTCATCACACAGGCTATCCAAAATTCACAAGATAAACGTTTGACTCTCTCTCAAATATATGATTGGATGGTGCAGAATGTTCCATACTTCAAGGATAAAGGAGACAGTAACAGCTCTGCTGGTTGGAAGGTTTGTGTTTTTATTTTATTCTGTTAGTGTCAGTATGAGTGCGAATATATATTATAAATGTTAATTCGGTGACGAAGAACCCGGAGATGGCTTGAATGGGTAATGAAGAAAAACTTTAATATAAGTTTAACATAACAGTAAATGTACAATGTTTCGGCAAGGTTTTGTCATCATCAGGTACCTTGTCGAAACGTTGTACATT